GGTAAGAGTACCTTTTACTCTTGTTGGTATGTGGCCCCTCTCTGTGCTGCCCCCCCCCCCCCCCCCAATCCAGAACCTGTTTGACCCTCTCTAGAGAATTAGCTTTTCATCAGGCTGGTAATTGGCTTTACTAGTTACAGGGAAATAAAATAATCTGAAGCTTCTGAAACAGAATCTCAACCAGTTCTTTCTTTAGTTCTTTTCTGTTTTTTAGTTCTTTTCTGGTGAAATGTTTCTGGTTTAGCACATGTGGAAATCAACTTTCAGGAGTCCTTGTACCACTGGGGTCCCAGGGATCAAACTCAGGTCTTCAGGCTTGGTCGCAACTACATTTTACTGAGCTATCTAGTTAGCTTCATACCAATTCCTTAATCTTATTTTTTTTCTTTCCTTTTTTTTTTTTTAGCATTAATTTATTGGCAGGGGGTGTGTGTGCAAGCCATAGCATGCCTGTGGAGGTCAGAGTACAATTTTCTATGTGGGTTCTGGGATTGAACTGAGGTTGTCAGACTTGGTACAAGTGTTTTTACTTGTTGAGCCATCCCTTTTTATGTTTTAGGAAAAGTCTCATGTAGCCTGGGCTGGTCTGGAATTGAGCTTTATCAACTGAATTTGAAATTAAGATATCTAGGGTAGGGTAAATATTATTAAGCATGTTGTACAAAACTCTTAAAAGAACCAATTAAAAAAAATATCTGGGGCTAGAGTGGTTAAGAACATGGCTGCTCTTTCAGAAGACCCTGGTTCTATTTTTAGCACCCACGTGATGGCTTATGAAGGTCTTACAACACCAGTTCCCGGAAATCCAGTGCCCTCTTCTAGCCACTATGGGTACCAGACATAAAAGTGGTACACAGATGTATATGCAGGCAAAAACACCCACACAAATAAAATAAAAATAAAGGTAATTCAGATGCTTGCATCCCCTCTAACTGCAGATCTGATTTAGTAGATTTGGAGTGGAATTAACACATGGATATTTTAGAAGTTTATTTTTTATTCGTTTTGTGGTTTGTTTTCTTTTCCTTTTTTTTTTTTTTTTTTTTTTGAGACAGGTTTTCATATAGCCCAGACTGGCCCTAGATCTTTTTGTGTTGCCAAGGGTAACTGAACTCCTGATCCTCCTTCCCCTACCTTTCAAATGCTAGGATTGCGAGTATAGGCCACAATGTGACTAACTACACATGGGTAATTTTGCAAAGCTTCTAGATGTTTCTTATACATAATCAAAATGGAGAGTTTCTTCCCTGTATATTTTTAAGTTCTAGCTTAGAAATAAACCTAGGATTTGGGAAGTACAGACTTTTTTGGTCCTTTAGAGTTTCATGATTTAGTATAATGGGAATGTTGTCCTCTCCCTGGTTTCTAGTCTTTGTGGATATTTATGACCATTTGGAAACAACTTGAGTTTTAGAGAAACAAGTTATTTTTTTTCCTCGTTTTTAATGAAATTTTGGAAGTAAATGTAATGCATTTATTTTGAGTATAGGGTTTTTCAGAAAAGCTATTTTATGAAATGATAAGCTTGAATTGTATTAGAAATAATAAAAGTTTCTGAATATGAAATGCTTTTGTTTTATATAATTAAGTAATAAACTACTGAACTTTGTGCTTCAATAAGGAATATTTACAAGAAAACATGATATTTTGAATTTTACTATTTTTGTACTACACAGAATAAAACTAGTATTGACAAAAATTTGGGATTAAAAAAGCAAACAGAAAAAGCAACCTTCAAATCTCCATTTTTCTCTTTGTTTAGTTCTTTTTGGAGGCGGATATCTGCTGAGACAATAAGAATTATAAGAGGTCAGTTTCAAATAATACTCTTTTATGTTTATAATGTAGTAAAAATTTTCATGTGCTAAGATGTTCAATTGTGGGGTTTCTGTTGTCTTTTATGAAGAATACTGGCAAGTGAACAAGCAGTCTGACCATGGTGATGACCCACTACTTTCTCTCTTAATTCAGGACTAGAATCAATGGAAATGGGACAGGCTGTGGTAGCTTCTAGAGTGTCTGGGCGGCTACTCAGTGATTTTCCAGGCATGACCTCCCTTTCTGGTGGTGTGCATGCTTGTGCTGGGAAGCAGTGTTCCGAGCAGGTGCTTGCTGCTGGGTAGGCATCAGAGCTGTTAAACACTGAGCTGTTTCCAGTCTGTGCAGCCCTTAGAAAAGGCCTCCTGGTACTAGTAGCTAGGAGAAGGCAGCTTGAAGCTGGCCGTGTTGAGCCTTTCGTTCCTTAGCCCGGGAACTCTTTTACTAACAATGTCCTTCCATGATTTCAAAGAATCTCTACTTGCTTGTGAATTTTATTTTTGTGACCACCAAATTTCAGTCAGATTATAAATTAGATTGTTGATGTGTGTGTGCCTTATTAGTTCATTGTGAAGGCAGATGTAAGTAAGGTGTGGTGGCATACACCTGTAGTTGCAGCTGTTGGGAGATACAGGCAAGGCAAGGCAAACTCAGCTGCAGAAGTTTGGGGTTAGCCTGGCTATGAGATGCTGTCTCCCTTGCCTTCTCCCAAAAACTTGATTTTCTGTTGCTGTATCTTAATATTCGTAAAGTGGTTTGTATATTAGAATGTCCCATTTTCTTTTCCTGTTATTCCCTAACTCCCTTTTCTTTTCTAATGATTTGGTTTTCTTTTAGACTGAACTCCACACAATTTGGAGACTTAAAAAAAATCATTTGCAATATAAATGTATAGTAAATTTAGTCAATTTTTTTTTCTATTGCTGGTGTTTGAAACAGGGCCTCCTATGTGTTAGGCAAGTGCTTTACCACTGAGTTACTCCTATGACCTAGAACTTTTATTCTTGTTTTTGTTTTATTTTAATGTACAAATAATGGGTTTCATTTAAACATTTATCATACATGTATATCGTTGTATATTGCTCATGTTCACTCTTGCACTGTCCTTTCCAGCCCCCTTTCCACCCTTATTGGTCCCCTTTCTCACCTCAAATACTCATTTTCTATTTACAGGTCATATATATGCATATATATACACACACAGATATGTTTAAGTCTAGATTCTACATAGATTCTCTTACTTCCCCCAAGTTATCCTGCCTTATTCTCCTCTGCCCCTTCCCTTTATCTCTTCCTTATTTATTTATTTATTTATTTATTTATTTATTTATTTATTTATGCTGGTTTCAAAAATAAAAGCTAGTTTAAGTATTCTTCAGCTGCCTTCCAGAATGTTCACAGATTCTTTGTTTTGTATTTCCTTTTTTCTTATTTTCTGTGTATATTTTGTCTTGCTGACAATTTGTTATTGTTGTTTTCCTCTTGCAGCACAGTGGTTCTTAAGCTTTAGGTTTTGTTAAAACACACTATTATACCTCAGCCTAGAGCTTCTGAAACAGTTGGTCTAAGATAGGCCCATGGCCTGGAACTCTTAAAAGTTACCCAACAAGCAGCTTCAGGTACAAGAATCATAATCTGAGAACCTTACTGTCCTAACATTTGAAAACACTATTTGTCTCTAAACAAATCACACCAAAAGAATGATGAATGTGTAATTTTAACATTCTTATTGTTATTTCCAAACATTTAAAAAACTTCTGGTGGCAAAGGAATTTAACCCCAATGACTCAGGAGGCTGAGTCAGGAGGATCACATTTCAAAGCCAGCCTGGTCTGAAGAGCAAGTTCAAGGTCAGCCTGAGCAACTTGGTGTGACTCTATCTCAAAACAAACATACAAACAAACAAATAAAGTCAGAATGGGCAGAGGTTATTGCTCATGGACAGAGGACTTGCCTTACAGGTGAAGGCCTGAGTTTAATCCCCAGAACCATTACCACCCCCTACCAAAACACTGATATTTTCTTGTCTGATATGATTACTGTTCTCCACATACTTTTGTGCCTGATAGTGACTTATAGCATATAAAATTTATCAATAAATGCATTGTTTTCTAAAAGTACCATATCTTGGAAAAACCTTAAAATTAGAATTGGTTAAGCCAGAAATTGTTTAGTACCAAGTTTATATATAGATTTAGCCCTAGCTGTCCTGGAACTAGCTTTGTAGATCAGGCTGTCCTGCAACTCCCAGAGATCCATCCACCTGCTTCTGCTTCCCAAGTGCTCGATTAAAGGTGTAAACCATGATGCCCAGCTGATTTAAAGTTTTTTAAAATAAATATTTGAAGGGACAGAATACTTTTAGCTTAGTTTGGTGTTTTCTTGTTATGTGGCTTTGAACTGGTAACTATTTTGGTTAAGTTTGTTGGTTAACTATTGATAATAGCTAATCTTGACTAGTAAGGTACTGTATCTAGATAAATGGTGTTTGAGATGACACATTCACTACTTTGAATACATATTTAAAATCTGGTGGTAAAATCACTTCTACCAGTTCTGTATACAGAATTAACAACAAAATTAACATTCAGGGGTAGATTTTTAAAATAATCATTTTGAGGGGAAAAAACTCTTGAAAACACAAGGTTTTTTGTTTATTGTTTTACTTTAAATGTGTGTGCTTAATAAAATTCATAATGTTTCATTATATGGTATTTGGAACCCAGGTGACCATTTTGTCATTTAAGCCCTGAGTTTTAAGCGATTGCTAGTGTCCCCAAACTCTTAGCACTCACTACCCATAGTGCTACAGGTAAGTCACAGTCTCATCTCGAAACAGCTTTGCTTCTAGTGAAAGGTTCTCATTGATCATCATTATCCCTTCAGTATCACTAAATTAGTGCAGAGATGGAGAATGGAGAAATAATCTCTCTCGAGAAAATAAAACTTTTAATTTATAAACATAGTTATCACAATCTTTCTTTTCCTCCCTTGGAGGAAACAAAAGTGCTGGAATAGAATAGCTAAGGAAGCCAGTTCTCAGACTCAAGTCAGTCTTGTTTCCAAGGGCTGTTTGTGTTTATGACTTACTCTCTTGAGTGTCCTCACCTGTACGTTATGGCCAATAACTTACTTTTCTCTTCATTTTCCCCACAGCTCTGAGAGCTTATTTTGAAAGAATAATGGATGAACCATCTCAGTTGGCCAAAACTCTGGAGCTGAACCAGCACTCCCGTTTCATAATTGGGTCTGTGTCTGAAGACAACTCTGAAGATGAGATCAGTAATCTGGTGAAGCTGGACCTACTAGAGGAGAAGGAGGGCTCCCTGTCCCCAGCTTCTGTCAGCTCAGATACACTTTCTGATTTGGGGATCTCAGCTTTACAGGATGGTTTGGCCTTTCACATGAGGTGAGACGAGTTGCTTCATGGGTAATGTGTTTACTCTGTCTTGTTATTTTCACTCATGTTCTGAAAGGAAATAGAAAATATATAAACATCATCTCCATTCACTGGGCCCATCTTCTATGAATAGGAAATTATGCACTTACCAGGTTTGGAGAGTATCTTTGTCTACATGTTCCTCTTAGCTTTTTTCCATCCTTTATATATACAAGGTCTTTCAGTATGACCCAGTGAATGAAAGTTACTTTGAGGAATTTCAGTTTCTGTAGTACTTGCATCAACAATGTTGTAACTTTCGTTGATTAATAGGAGTTTTGCAGATTTGGCCAAATTTGTAGTCGTCACCCCCCCTTCCCCACCTCCCCAATCAGTGCTAGAGATTGACCCCAGGGCCTTACACATGGTAGGTAAACACTCAGTCACTGATCTACATCCTTAGCCCTTGTGGGTTTGTTGTTTGTGCTTTGAAGCAGGGCTCCATTAGCCCTGCTTGAACTGGAACTTCTCATGTAGGCTGGCCTGGAGCTTGTTGAGATCTTCCTGCTTTTGTTTCCTGAGTGCTGGAACTGTACACAGTGCCTATGGACACTTTGCCTTTTTTGTTTTTGTTTTGTTTTGTTTTTTGAAACAGGGTCGAATGTAGCTCCAAATTCCCCTGAATTCTTGATCCTCCTGACTCCACCTTCTAAGTGCAGATATTACAGGTGTGTGCTAGCTTACTCATGTTAAAAGTAACTGATTTTAGTTTTGTTCTGGGACAGAGTCTTATGTAACTCAGACTGGCCTAGAACTCACTATGTAGCCCAGACTGACTTTAACTTCCTAAAATTTTCCTGCCCTGGACTTTGGAGTGCTAGAGTTACTGGAGTGCTGGGGTACTGGTATGAACAACCATGCCCTTTGATTGATTAGATAGCTAGTTTAGTCATTTGCTTTTCAGTTTTTAGGTTTAAGAGTCTGGGTCAGATTTGTTTCTCATTCATTTGTGAGTAAACCTTAGGAATAAAATAAAAACTAGGGATAAAAACCTCATCCCTAGAAATTACACACACACACACACACACACACACACACACACACACACACACACACACACACACAGAGAGAGAGAGAGAGAGAGAGAGAGAGAGAGAGAGAGAGAGAGAGAGAGAGAGAGAGGTGCTATTCAGGTGATTCTAATGCACACTGAGGGTAAAAATTATAGTAAAATTCCATACTTGTTCTGGTAATTCTTTGTTGTTATCCATGGAACTTGGAATCATAGCTTCTGTAAGATGAAGCAGTTAGTGTACATTAATAATCATTCCCATTTAAGCTATGTGGAGGGTAAAGCAACTTAGATACGCTTTACTTCATGATTTCTGGGACTTGCAGTGAAGCAGATAACTTACCTAAAGTTTTAGTGCTTTTTAAATGTATTTGTTAAGACAGGATCTCTTATTCCTTAGGGTGACCTTAAACTTGGGCTGATCCTGGCTTAGCCTCCTAATTGCTCTGATTACAGGCACATGCTAATTACAGGCTTGCCTGATTAGATGAATGTTTTCATTTTAGTAGATGAGAAAACTGAGGTCTGATGAGGGAAAATCACTTGGTTAATGTTGAGAGTTCAAACTCAAATGTCCTAGTTGCATTTTTATAATTGTTTTACTCTGTTTGCCTGACCTACACCTTTTTTAAAGTTTTGGAAGTATTTCTAATAAACTTGGTTTTCTGGAGTTAATGAACAAAGTATTATACCCAACTTCAGGACAAAAAGAAGAATTAGCATCAGGGATTATAAATTAGGATTTTATGCAAACATGTTTTGCTCCTTTATGATTCACTTAGGTTGACCCTTAGGTTAGTACCGGGGTTATTGTCCCCCTCAAAGTCATTTGGAAAAATGTGGGAGTTGTGAACTGCTGAGACTACTCACATTTGGAGGACAGTGGACTGGTAGTACTAAAACTTTTGCAATAGGACTGGAGATGATGGTGCACTCCTTTAAATCCCCCTGCTCAGGAGGCAGAGGCAGGCATATCTCTGAATTTGAGGCTAGCCTGGCCTACAGAGTGAGTTCCAGGACATCCAAGGCTACATAGCTCTCTCAACACCACCATCACCAGTACTTTTTTTTTTTTTTTTTTTTTTATTAGTTCTAGTTAGGGAACAAGCTTATTTCAAGTCCCTTCTCCCTCTCCCTCCCCTCACCCCCCACCAGTACTTTTATAATGTAGTATATCATCCCACACAACCAAGAATTAGTTTCAAATTGTCATACTCCCCTATTGAGAAAGACTAGGTTAGGGCTAAATCTTCGAAGTCATACTGCTCTTTGAGAAATTTGTCCAACTTAATTTTATGTGAGACATAATGTTCAGTTGTTGAATTAGGACATTGAATTTGGCAATAGTGCAATACATGCTATTACAGGAAACTCAGCTGATGATATTCTGAGGCAGGATGTAGGTGCCAAGCCATTCCCAAGGCCCAGGGCTGTCAGGCAGTGGCTGTGTGGTTAGTGGCATGACTGCAATATCTTGGATGCCTCATTGTTGCCAGAACTCTGGTTGTTGCTCATGGGCAGGAGTGTGACCAGCATCTGGGGAAGAGGACAGTTGCCAGTTTTCACTGTCTTCTCAGCTAATGTTCCAAATAGAACAAGATTTCTTTCTTCATCCATTTTACCTGTGGATATGATGGTGTCTTTGGGAGTAATTTAAATTCTTTCTTTTGATAGGAAGACTTTTATGATGTCTGTTGTTAATTAAATTGTATGTAACCATTGGCAGTCCATAATTTTGCATTGTACTCATTTCCTCTCTGAGAAATGAAGATAATGCTGATTCAGTCACTGCTTTCACTTTTTGAATACTATATATAAACTAGTTGAGTTTACTAGCAGCTAGTAATAAATAGCCTAGAATAAATAGCCTGATCTTTCACATATGATAGAGGTTAAGGGGACAGGCCCATTCCTCACATTCCTCACAAGTGTTAACTGGGGCCATTTAAAACAAAGAAATAATTGCTGTGAGCTTGAGGTAGGGTGCTAAGTGAACATTTTAGTGGTCTGATGGATAAGCAAGATTAGAACATAAACTTTCTAGGGAAAGAGAAGACATATGTCATGTTTGTTCAGTCACTGAAAGATTGGATAAGTCACTTCCTAAGCTTTATCACCCAAGTATTTGAAAATAAAGGCTTAAGAAATAGTTATAACTTGGTGGGAACAGGCAAGTCTCATTGAAGAACTGCTTAGGCTTTTTAATAGATAAGATCAACCGGGCTTATCTGCTATAGTTAGGATTGTAACAGCCCTAGCTGTCCTGGAACTTGCTCTGTAGACCAGGCTGGCCTGGAACTCACAGAGATTAGCCTACCTCTGCATCCTGAGTGTTAGGAATTAAGAAGTGCTCCCCTACTGCCTGGCAAAGTTCTTTTGTAATTAGAAATTACCTGTAGTTTCTCCCGTGTCACAAAACAGACAATGTATGTGTCAGTTTGCAATTGGCTCCGAGATAACTTTTTTCATTGTTGTAGACTTAAAAACAGAAAATCATACAGAATTCTGTGCATATATTTCTCTCTAGGATATAATGATGTTAATGTGAGGTTCGTAGAGAATCTGGTATTGACTTTGAGTGATAGGGCCTACTTTTTGCTGGTATAGCCTATTCTATTTTTCTTTTTAAGATTTTATTATGTATACAACATTCTGCTTCCATATATATCTGCACACCAGAAGAGGGCACCAGATCTCATAACAGATGGTTGTGAGCCACCATGTGGTTGCTGGGAATTGAACTCAGGACCTCTAGAAGAGCAGTCGATGTTCTTAACCTCTGAGCCATCTCTCCAGCCCGCCTATTCTATTTTTCACATTATCTTTTTTTATATATTAGGCTTGGGACTGAACCCAGAGCCTCATGTTTATTTAGTTCTGTTATTGAGCTGTATTGCCTGTTCCTTAGTAACACTCAGTCATGTTTTCTCAGTGACTGAATAGAAAAATAATGACAGTAATAGATAGCATTCATCAAGTGCTTTAGTGTATGTCAGACACTGCTGTGTTTTGTGTGGAGTGTCGCACTTAATCTTCAGTACAACCAGGCAGGTGTTGTGTGATCATTCCCACAAGATACATGTAGGGAACTGACATAACATGTGTAAGGTCATTTGACTGAATATGGAAACTAGTCAGAGTCCTAACTGTCAGCTATTCTATCAGACTTATGATTACTTTGAGCAGGTCTTTAGTTCAGTCAGCCTTACTTCAGAAGGATAGAAAGTATATTTGAAAAGTAATGATTTATTAAGAAATAGTACAGAAAATTAATAAAGGCTTATATATCCACTAACCAGACATCACATTGCTAAAACTCTCCTTAGTGTTCTGAATTCTTTTCTTTCTTTTAAAATTTTTATTTATGAGTATGTGTGTCTGTCTGGGTATGTGTATGCTATATAAGTTCAGTACCCTCAGAGATTCAAAGAAGGCTTTAGATCCCGTGTAACGTAGTTATAGGTTGTTGGTTATGAATTTCCTGACTACTATAGGTTCTGGGAACCAAACTTGAGTCCTCTTGAAAGAGCAGCAAGTGTTTTTAACCCCCAAGCCATTTTCCCAGCTCCTCTGAATACTCTTCTATGCATACCCATGTTTCAGTGTGTGTTTCTCTTCGTGTTCTTCATCATTCTTTTCTTCTTTCTTTTTGAGACAGGGTCTTCTTATGTATCCCTCACTGTCCTGGAGCTCTCTGCTATCCCCCTTTTTCTGCTCCCAAGTGTTTAACCATCATGCCATGCCACACACACATTTCTTATTTTTATTTATTCTTTAACTTTTTATATTTTATGTGTCTGGGTGTTTTGCTTGCATGTATGTCCATGTGCCACATTCATAGTGCCTGCAAAGAGGCCAGAATAGAGTGTCAGAGGCCTTGGAACTGGAATTATGGACTGTTGTTAGCAATCATGTTGGGAATGGTGCCTGGGTCCTCTGGAAGAGCAGCCAGTGCTCT